GTGCAAGGTTATCTTACTAGTAGCCTATCGCACACATCACGTTTGATACCAAGATAGGTATGTACGTCCTGTATACTGTTGCATTGGAGATGCGATCTATAGTAGTGCTTTGCTCAGGAATCATCGCGGCTCGCGCAAACCAGGCGTTCATTTTGATCTGTACAAGACCACGGCTCAAAGAGCAACTAGATAAGGCGTCCGGTGATTACGTTCGGAGGATGGCCATCTAGGAGGTGAAGATGGATCATATTGATTGACTACGCCACCGATTGGCTAGCATGTAGGTCGAATAATACTGTACGGTCCCATGTATTATTTGAATCAGAGAACGTTTGCAGCGGGGTTGCTCGACGGGCCAGCGATGTTGGCAGACCTTGCACCCGGACGATCCCAACCCGGAAGCGTTACAATAGTCTTATGAATAGCAACATATAAGTGGTGATCTTGGCTGCAGCACATCCCAAGTGTCCGGGAGGAAATGATCCTGCGGAGTATCCATAGCGACAGGTATATGATGTCCTAACTTCATTGTTTTCCGAGGCTCACAAACGTCGTTATCTAGAGGTGCGATGACTCTGAGCTTTTCCGCACTTACGTTCAACTGCAACGTTCGTGGAATACTGTATCATTCCCGACATTGTACGGCCAAATGCCCAGGAAGGTATGCAGCTGCTGCATGGTACCCGGATTCATGCGTTCTGGTGGGGCGGTGAACAATGAAGTTGAACACGGGAGAATATTAGACAAGCCAGGTGCCACTTGTTATATCGACAGCGCAGTATATGAATGGTCTCGTGGCAGAGGTTTGTTCCCGCGCCTCTACTGTATTTTGCGTTTGTAGTGAAAAATGATATCGCTCGCGTTGCACCCGTTTCTAGTATTGCCACAGACCGAAATCTTGCAATACGAATGAGTGTGTGAACAGTGACTATGCGAGTCGGACTGCGTATCGATAGGGCACGACCTACCGTCCTTTCCTAAGAAAAAACCCATCGGCTTACCTGCGTAATGAGGGTCATGTGCTACGGTTTTCAAGGGAATGGCAGATTACCCTACCTACACGTCCGCTCCATCAGCAGCAGTACCTCCTCTTCTTTTCCCCCTCGCTTCCTTCCATGCCTTCTTCCATGCGCTCGTCACCTCGCCCTTATCCCTCTCCCATGCCTCGCGTATAGACTGCTCCGTAGCGTCAGGGGATCTCTCGAATCTCCGCACTGTGTCAGGCAGTGAAAGTAGATTGCGTGGAGTGCCACCAATATTGACGTGCAACCGTGGAAAGACAACAGACCGATGTTCACCTCTCCCGCGCGTGTGTGCTCGTCCTGACGTCGAGTTCGAGTTTGGTGTACCAGAATAGGAGTACGGCAATGATTCAACGAGAGGGAAGAGAAGTGGTCGGGTAGAATCCAGAGTGATACCTCCGTCCCCTTCACGTCCAGACTTTTTCACCGGCGGGTGTAAACACCCCACCTGATGGTTCGAGCTTACACCAGAAGGAGGTCCTGAACTCGCTGTGGTTACGTATGTCGAGGGCATTGCAGTAGTGGAGATGGATGAGCCACCAAGCACATCGTCCTCGAGCTCCAAATCGAGATCGAGATGACCGAGAAGGGAGAAAGACGCTGTGAATTTCGTCAAAATTCCGCACTGTATGCAACAGGAAGAGCAGACTTATAGAATGAACAGGACAGAAAATAAAACATAGGTCGATAATCTGAAAACACGAGAGAGGAAGAATTTTGTAGAATAGCAGTCGTTCGGAAAAAGGCAACACGAAAAACAAACACATGGTCCGCCAAACAACGAGGTTGGGAATACTCACGCTCTTCCTCTCTTGGTGCAAACAGATCTTTCAGTTCTGTTTTCGTCGGCACAGCTGCGGTGGTGGTGTCCATTTCCGAAGTTACTGTTCTGGTATTGGTAGAAGTAGCAGCCGCGGATGGATGAACAGTGGTGGGATGCGTGTCTCCCATTTCGATGTCTTCTCCAGAATTCCACTCTTCCTCACCGCTAGGCCCCCTATGCATTCGCGCTTCCCCCACCCTAGTGAATACGTGCCGAGGCACCTCTTCAATTTTGCCTCCACTCACCGTACCCGCGTCCGTGTCGACGGCCATTGCGGTTCGATCACCATCTATACCATCAAGTTCGTCAGCGCTTTCAGGTCCGCCCCACTCATCCGCCTCTCCGAACATGCTATTGAGAAGCGCAAGTGCAGAAGATGTTTCTTGGCGGACGTCGATGACGACGTCCGCGCGAAGGCTGGAGCCGGAGAAGTCGGCAGTGGGGGCAGTTTGTGAAGGTGATTGACCTTCAATAGTGACATTGGAGAGATTCTGAGATGGGGCGTGTACATCATTGCTTTCCTCCTCGTCAGACTCTGGTTCGATCGGACGTGGCTCAGAGGTGGGGTGGGCCACAGACCCGGAGGGAGGACAAATAAGAGAAGAAGAGGGGGCGACGATCGTTTCCAACAATGCCCCCGTCAAGTAAGTCGAGTCCCATTTTGTTGGATCAATCGTGCGGCTACGTGCTCGTGACGGTGGGACCTTCCTCTTCTTCCCCTTCTTGCCCACTTTTTCACTTGTCTTTCCCCGCGTCCTCTGTCTACCCCCGACAGCGTGCATTGGCTCCAAAGGACGCTCAGGTCTCATTCTCATGGGCCTAACGACCCTTCCGGAAGGCATCACAACCCAACCTGCTGTCTTTGCCGCGTCATCACGGGAGAGGGGCGTATCGAGGGTGGGGGACGCGAAGGCGAGCTGGCGTCTTTTCGAGCGGGAGGTACGAGGTGGAGGAGGTGAGAGGGAGTTGAGGTAGGCGATGCTTGGAGTACAAGATGAGGAAGAATAGATAGATAGAGGGGTAGGACATACCGTTGGCGATAATCTGGTTTTGCTTCTCCAATACGCAGTTTTGTTCCCTTCCATGTGGACCCGCTAAGCATGTTCATACCTGGACACACGAGCGAGTCAGGACGAGTACGACCTCCAAACGAGACACGCCAGTACATTTAGCGAGATCCTTATCCTTGCCCTCCAGCGTGACATATGCAAATGGTCTCGGGTCGCCCAGTGCATCTAATTTGCCGAACCCGTCCAAGGATTTAACTGACCCAAAAGCGGAGAGCCTGTGGAGGATATCAGTGGAGGTGATGGACGGTGTGAGTCCGGAGACGTGCAGCCGTTTCGTGACCACCGTCTCTGCTGCCATGGGCGAAAAGACTCAAGTACTCCAGTCCGACCAGTCACACGCAGCCGAGTTCGGGCCGGAATGTTATTTTACTGCTCCATCCACACCCCTGACCCAAAAACCCATACATCTTTTTACATGTGCTCCTGTATACTACGAGCTTTGGAATCTTCGAGATGGAAATGACTGAGTGGGCATCAGAAGGCTGGGAACGGACGCGATAATAGAAGTCCAAGTAGTTCGAGAGCTAGCGTATGCTACCAGGTATTTAACTATATCGTGCCACTGCATCGGGCTACCATCAGTACGAAAAAAAAAAAAAAAAAAAAAACATCAAGATCCCATGCAGACCTCATAGGTCTTTCGAAGAACATACCTTGATAAATTCTGACATGAACTTTCTGAAACACCGCGCTAGTAAACATATGCCACCACGAACACGGACACAAGGTACATTTGTGGAATCCGGCACGGAGCAGGTCATTGACGAATTGACCAGACACATCCTTTTTCTGCATTCATTGCCTCGTTCTTGAAAATGAAGTCTACAGCGATGGCAAGTCAAAGTGAGAGTGCGGAGGGGAGATGCGGAGCAGATTTTTGGTGCTTACCACCATCTCACTGTCGTAAAATTTCACAGAGAAAGTTCCTGGAACGATAGTATTGATGCCTGGGGACTGCCTCGGTGCTGCAGCGAGGTTTGATGGTGGTTTGAGGTGCCTGTTTCCACTTCACGGACTGCTGCTTTCGCGGCGGATTCCTCCCCTTCTTGCCGGAATTTTGCTTCTGCACGTTCCCACTTGTCTTTTCGAGTTCGCGGAGTTCGTCCCTGCCTCTGATTCGTTTATTCGTCCTCGCCTTCTCCATCCGTAACAACAGGCAAAGGTGCCTTTCCTTCCGCTTGCCGCTTTCTACTACGCACTTCCTCTTCTGCAACGAGTAATTCCACTCTTAAATGGCTCCGCGACACTTCTCCTGCCGAGTTTTGCCCTAGCCGACTGCTTTTGATGCATATGACATGGCGGTGCATATGTGAGAGTTGGTCATAAAAACTTACCGAAACTTGAGAACGATGTGGGCAGCCACATCACGAACTGAGTGTTGCCGAGAGCCGCCCTTGACATCTTTGGTCCGGGCTGGGTCCCATGTTGGTCTGTGAGCGGTGGACATGGCTGGTATACACGTGATCATCATTAATGCAGGTAGTACTCACAGTTTGTGTCACGGGCTTGTCGCTTGTCTTTCACTGTGCCTCCGCACAAATCAACCGTAACATGCGAATCCTGTGGGAAGCCCTTGAAACTGACTGAAATTGTAAATCGTCCATAAAACAGCACCGCAGGGAGCAGAAAGACCTAGTTACGTATCTGGGATCAATTCGTGAAGGTAGTACTCAAGCTATCCAGTTCGTGATTATTTCTTCTCGTTAATCTTGTTTACAGTCGTTTCGTTGACGAGTGACTCGCATGAGCCGTCCAAAGTCGGTGATTATATGGTATTAGGATCGGGCACCTCGCTGAGTGCTGATGCGCACCACGATGATTATTCTAACTGTACTCTCCAATCGATCTGCCTGTCTGATAGATACCGCCCAGACCTGGTGCTTGCACGTTGATCCGGATCCGCTGGACTTCTTCTACCATGTCCTCAACCCTGACCCCTCGTCGATGGGATGTCCAGTCTGATCAGTTCCCCAACCTCTCAGTGACTCTGCTCGTTCGGATGGGATTCCACAAAGGCCAGTTTGTCGGACGTGTGGGAGAGTAGATTGTGCGGCGTGCTCTGGTAAGGTAAGGTAGTGGTTTATAAGCGATATAGTGTAGTGGAGTGCACAGCAGTCTCATGAGCTGCTAGATTTGGTTCAATTCCAAAATTCGCTACCACTCGTGGATTTGGTGGATCATTCATGATGTCGAAATTTTATTGACTCGCTATTTTTTTAGCTTTCCTATTTGCAAAATGGACCTTCTATATACCTCGTGCTGATGCGGATTCCTTGGCATGAGGGAGAAACCAAAACCTGGGCGTGCGTGTACCGATTGCTATGATGCGACATTTTCTCTTCTTCCTGGCCTGTCTTTTCCTGAGCCCGGTCCATGAAGCACAAAGCAAAGAACAAGATTAGTGGTTCTCGTGCGCGACTGTCAACGGCCGCCGTTGCGGTCGGTGCCCCAGGTGCTATCGAGAACGAACGCGATATGGGCGGCGGGGACGATCCAAATATATTCGTCGCCGCGCGCTACCCCTCTGCTATCTATTCCTGTACGACGCAGGTTGGATGTAAGTGAAGCTTTGAGGCTCTGGACGGCGGGCGCTGCCCAGAGCAGGGTGAGGGTTTCGTGCTAACGACGAAAGTGTGAACGGGCATAAGACCGAGGCTAAAGAAAACGACGACACCGATGTAGGTGCGGACGTACATCAAAGAAAGGATAATCATAGCGGGGGGGGAGCCTAAGGTTCGATGGTCGACCGGGAGATCAGACTCGATCCCATGTACCAGGCGGAACGTGGATCCGAGTTCGAGCACATCTACCTGTACACGCACACAAGTGCGTACCTACGCACGAATACGAAAATATTCGTTCACGAGTCCACGCTTACGCAGGTATGGACCCGCAACGATTCGAACATGTACGGGATCACCTTCCCGCCTTTACCTACGCCCGATACGCATCCGCTTATCTATGCGTCCACGGAGTTACCAGGATATGTTGGACGACTTTGCCATGCACGAGTGAGGGGTGGGTATGAGGCCTGGGATTTGGACGGGTTCTAGTCTGGGTTCTCCCAACGGAGAGAAAAGTGACAGTGGTTCCAACGCGGGCAGCTGCCCAATGAACGCCAGCGCGAGCACGATTATCAGTGGGATGCCGAGACCAAGGCATATACCTAAGACAAGTCCGACGGAAGAAGACGCACAGGAGAAAACGATTTACGTTGTCTGCTGTAAGGTTTCAGACAACGCCCGTATATGCGCGTGTGATTGGGGTTATCAGAATACTGCTGGAGATAGGGCCGGTAGTGCGGGAGTTGGAGATGGTGTCAGAGTTGTTGGGAGGGGGGAAAGATACGTCAGAGGGGGAGGATTACTTGCAAGGCGAAAGGATAGCTCTGCGGTGGGGATGCTAAATGACATCTTCATGAAGGGTGTATCGACTCCGAAGCTATCAAGTGACCAAGTGCTCCTTTGCTATGAACTTTTGGGCACGGATTTGAGCAGGACTTAGATGGGATAGTCGGCAGTCTCCATAGTGACTTGGCGCGGCAGGATATACCACTCATAAGCACACCGTACAGCGGCCACGGCGACTACCAACGTCGCTACTATCTGCCCAGCCTGCGCTGGGCGTTTTCTGCTCATTTTCCCTTCAACTTTAAGTTGTTCTGTACACAAGCTGTACTATGTACTTCTGTAACGGTATCTGGCCCGTAACTTGAACGTCGTCGGTTCGGCAAATGAAAACCTTATCAGTACGCCATTGACTGACAGGGCAAATGTCGAGGACTTGAAACGCGATGTTATAGTGTACATTGCAAGATCTGTACATGAAACGGGCGTCCATAATATACATGAATACGATTTGAATTCCTTTGCAGTCTTCACGAACGGCGAGGTGACACGACAGGAACGAAGGATCGGAAGCACAGTTCACTGCACTGGCCCGGAATGATTCCTATTTGCTTCACCACATGGCCGCCAGCCCAGTATCGCATTCACACATATTACAACCCGGAGACTGGCGTTTGCTCAGATACTCCACTGTCCTCAAGCTTTTTCTTAATTGAATCGCGAACTTTGCTGTATAGACCATCATGCAAACCGAGCACGTGGGTCGCTGAACTCACGGAGTGAGCGTCTCGTCAGCATGTTAAAGTATTCTGCTTACAGAGTGTAGTCTTCGTGTCCACCTTGCCATCCGAATAGAGAACGCCGCGGTATTGCGCGCCATGGACCTGAAAATGGATGTAGGAGGTAGAAACCGCAACGGCACCATTTTTCTCCCTGGAAATTATCCGTTTGAGTCGGTATGGGATGATGAGGTCACATATGGTAAACTCACGAGCAGACGGCAAGCTGGAACTTGCCATGATAACTGCCCCCTCCGATGAAGAGCAAACTACCAATGACATCTTGATCGACTTGGTCAAGAACTGACTTGTTGAAGAGTTTTAGTGCCTTTTCGTTTTCTTCGAGCTGTTGCAAGGAGTTCAAAGCGCGGACGAACAGTTCGCGCTCCGAGCTAGACACGTCCAAAGAGTCAAAGACCAGTCCTTTGACTTCTTCTTCAATCCTGTCAACGTATGGAAGGCGTGTAAGTTGACTGTGGCAAGTGTCATGCGGGGTGAACGAACCCGTCCTGTTGACTAAACCAGTGTATATTTAAAAGCGTAGTCTTGAAAATGGTAAACCATTTGACATAGTCGTCACTACCTCCGACCTGTTTGTCTGCTGCCCTGGCAGAGAGCTCAAAACTGTTTCGTACGTCTTCCTGAACAAAGATTGAGTGGGAGCGTTTGATGGCAAGTTGAGCCATACCTGATGTTGCGGGCTGACGCCGGGCAAAAAAACTAGGAGTATGGAGACGCAGACAGCGGCACTGGCAGACCCGGTCACAGAACAGGACATGCTCGTTTACACTAGAAGTAGGGGTTCAACGTATAGTGACTCTAGTGCGCATGTGAAGCATTATAACACACGCATCCGCGGCAGACGCCGATTACTAGAGACGAGTATGCCCCATTTGAGCTCATGAATGACGTTTCAATCAAGTGCGAGAACACGCGTGTGCACCTTGATGGACTGAATCATATCCCGTCCAAGATGATCATGACAGCAACTGGGCATCTTGAATGGAAGACAGTGGTCACGTGACAAACCTTTCGGCTCGTCATGAATGTTTGAGCCCAGACGGTGGGAGTACCGTATTCTAGGTGCACGGATTTCGGATAGCGAGATTGCCGGTACCCCCAAACATCAATGAAAGAAGGTGGGATGACATGTCCCCTGCATGGAAGGCAATCGCATCCAGCTCACCTGTACTGAATAGGGTTGAACGTTTGTGGAAATCCTGAACTTCCACATTGATGACCCCACAAGATTCAGTGGAGTTACGTCTGACTCGATTTTAATTTTCACCAGGTTAGATATTATCAGATGAAACTCAGAACTCGGCTTCGGCCGACCACAGAGGCTGCTATCGCATGCGCTTTGGCAACTTAGCTGGGAAGGCAAGATGAAAGGTCCTGACGTGGAAGATGTTGCATTGAGCTGATCACAGCTAGTTCTAGATGGCACATTCTGGGAAACGTCTTGTTCAGTGTTTAATGTGGCCGGTAACATGGTGCAGCGGGAAGACGTCATGTCCACATGAACATCAAGATCTAGGGGTGGACTCTGATTCTAGATTTTTTTTTTCATGCCCTCCAGAATGGTCCGGTGGTTCCACGCGGCTCGCCTGTGTAATGAATTCTCGAGTAGCTGTGCTAATTTCCAGCAGGCACGGTGTAGCATTGAGAATTCACATCTTGAAGGACTAGGGCCGGTTGAGTATGTTCAGTCTTCCGGGGTAAGCGGTGTATTCATTCAAGGTTCAAATCTGAAGCGGCCACCCGAATAGAATGAATCCTGAGCATCTCTCGGGTTGGTCGCGTCCCCTGAATGGGAACAAGAACACCTTTACATCTTGCTTCGATATAGTACCATCAAACACAGTACGTGTGATGAGCCAGACTCGATTGCACCAGTGAACAGGATCAACGTTTCCCCCGTGGGGCAACAGTAGCGGCGTGTCAGTTCCAATATCATCGAAGTTTCCGCGTAGTTGGCGTGATTTTTTTTCTTCACGCCCGAACGGCAGGTGACAGCTTTGTACCACCGTCATCAGCAATGCTAAGTAGTGGGCAGGCCACCAGCAAATTTCTCGCACTAAGCAGCCATTATGAACCTGGCAGGCGACCTATCTGGCAAGTACTCGGTTAACCTCTTGAGTGCATGACCACCAATCAGAGAGCACCATTCGTTATTAAGTGCAATACAAATGTGAACGTCATTCTACTTTTTTTGCAGAAGCGCACCCCGAATAATGGTCGACATTGGCGAAGTCGAAGGCGAGAAAACCCACCTCTGACACGAAAAACCGCCGTAATCAGCTGATTTTTTGTACTCTACGGGTTCTGACGTGCATCGATTTCAATTCAGGTTTGCCGGAGATACCCAGACGTTAGGAACGCAAGAGCAAGCGGCGCCCGAGATTCGAACGAGACAGCAGGAATGATGCTATTCTTGGTGACCTTGCAGCCTGCTTCGAGAAGACGTGAGTTATACGATGTTAGGAGATGCGGTTCCAGATTCAGCCTGGGCCGTATACTGATGTTCGAAGACGGTGTGGCCCGCGCAGGATCTGATCATGTCTAAACCTACTGAATTCTGAAAGACGTAATCTTCCTGAATACTGACGTTGTAGGTGAGGATGCCCTTACAGCGCTGGGTCGCAGTTCTGACCAATTCAGGTTTTCGTTGTAATACCGGTATGACGAGGGAGAAAGTGCGTCCATTCAACATGTCGACCGTTAGGGTGGCTTCTAATTATATACATACGTAAGATCACGACTTTTCCTGGTACTTAGATGACGACCCCCCACAGTTGGGTGGTGATAATGCCATTATGGGGGCGGTCCCTCATGTACGGTGTACGGCAACGTGACCTGGCGGACGTCTTGCCCCTAACATCTTGTAGGTTTCTTGGTATCAGCCGTTGGATGGTGAGAATTACATCAGTTTTGTAATGATCTCACATCTCCGCCTATCGACGTTAAGGAAATCCGGTTGGCATTATCTCCGAAAGGCTGTGGTGTGGTGTGGTGGATGTGTCTTCAAAAC